GGCAGCTATAAATCAGTAGGCAAACAAGGGATAAAAGAGGTTACACAATCCTAGCCCATCCTACAGCTTTACCAGTTGTTCCTGGGTCTTCTTCTGGTCCTGAGAAGCCTGCAACAGGGCCTCCTTGGCCTCTTCAGCTTCTCCCCGCTCCCTGGCCAGCTTTTCAGCCTCACTCTGGGCACGCTTCCTTTCCTGCTCAAGCTCCAGGGCTCTGCGGGTCTGTTCTTCCAGTTCTGGGCAAAAAAGGTGAGGAAAAGGCAATGAAGAGCACAGAAATGAAGGCAGCACACTAGATTCCTTCATGAAACACTCTACTCCAGAGAACTGCTGGCAGAAGGTTCTGAGCACTCTTCTTGCCCCATCTTTCACTTATTCTGTGGCCATACCTGGACTACATAGTCTGAGTGGGGAGCCCAAGCCTCACCTTGTTGAGCCTTCTTAGTCTGTTCCTCAATCTGTTTCAGCCTCTCCATCAGTTCCTCCTTCTCTCGTTCGATCTTCTCCTTCTCCTTTTCTGCCATTTCACGTTTCTTCTTCTCATTCTCCAGCAGAGCACTAGTGAAAAAGAAAGAATGGATGGAACAGGAGAGCCAGGCTTTACAGTAGCCTGGGAATTCTCAAGGCTCCCTGGATCCCTTAGTGCTCACCCTTGCAACACACCCAGGGCTTACAAACTTGGACCACTCTTCCTCACCTCCAAATCCTTATCTTCACATCACTGCACCACATGTGCTTGTGTGCTCAGGGCCTGGTCAGTATGCTCCTGAGTCATAAGACCCACACTGGAATCCCAGCTCTGCCACTAACTTTCTGTGTGACTTTATCTATGTCACTGCTTTGCTCTTATTCTCAGTTTCCCTACCTGTAAAATGACCTAATAGATCCTGCCCTATATACATCATGGACTAATAAGGAGATAAGTTTTGGCTCTGTGCTGGGATGCTTATGCTTCAAGTTTGGTGATCTCTGTGCTAGGGTGTCAATCCTCAGGTTTAACCCTGGCTGCTGCTGTAAAGCCCAGCTCTAGGATCCTTTTTCTCAGAATATATTGTTAATCTAAGTATTTGCTTTTTCTTGGGCCCAGTACCTCTTCTAGGAAGCCTTCTTGTTTACCTTAGTTAGATGTCTTTTATTGCTTTGAGCTCTCAGAATACTTGGCCAATCCCTTTCCTCAACCTTCTTTTCTGTTATTTTTCTCTACAAAACTTCTTATAATCTCACCTACTATACAATTTGCTATTTATTGTGTCTGTATCCTCCCACTAAAATGATAGCTGTACAAGAGCAGGGATTTTGGGTCTGTTTGTTTTTTCACTAAGTAAATGAATGACACAGCCTTTGTACCTTGAGTTATACATTTTTTTTTATTTTTTTTTTCGTCTCTCTCCCATTAGTCTGTGAGATCCTGGAAGGCAGGTTCCTACCATATTCAGCTCTTTAACCTGCCTTCAATCTTGGTAATATTTTTCTGAATGTGAATCTTGGTGTCTAACCTCTCATACATGGAGTATAATCTTTTCCAGCCTACTAGACTAAAACTCTCCCAAGGTTCCAAATTCTTTGTAACAGAGTATCTACTATAGCAGTATTCCTCAAACTTTAACATGCTTAAGAATCACCTGAGATCTTTTAAAAATAATTTACTGAGGTGAAATTCACATAATATGTAATTGAACTTTTTTTAGAGAGAGAGAGATTTTTTTCTATAGGGCACATGCACTTACCAGAGAGACAGAGAGAAACAGAGACAGAAACCGAGAAATCACCACCTAGGGGGCATGGCCACATCACAATCTCTTCTCCTCTATTCTCCTCTCGGGATTTTGGACATGCATTCATATGCACCCGACATGAGTTTTAAGCCACCGGGTCTGGGACTCGAATTGGGGTCGACTAAGTGGGAGTCTGGGGACATAACCATGATACTATCTGCTGGTCTCTATAATTAACCATTTTAAAGTGAACAATTAGTGGCATCTATTAGGTCATTGGGAAAGTCATGACATGTTTTTCTGTGTTATTCCATGCAAAAATGCATCATGACTTTGCCGACCACCCAATAATATATTCACAATGTTGTACAACCACCACTTTTATCTAGTTCCAAAACATTTTCATCACTCCAAAGTAAAATCTCTTACCCATTAAATGGCTTTTCCCCATCATCCCTCTCCTCTAACCCTCCGAAGTAAAGTCCCATACCCATCAAGCAGTTTTTCCTCAACATCCCTCCCCTCTAACCCCTGACAAATACCAGTCTACATTCTGTTTCTATAGCACTTCCTATTCTGGACATTTCATATAAATGGAAACATACAATATATGACCTTTTGTGGCTGGCTTCTTTCACATAATGTTTTAGAAGCTCATCCACATTGTAGCATGTATCAGTACTTCATTGGACATGTACATACATGCACCTGTTTGTTTACTTGTTTTCAGTTCTTTTGGGTATATACCTAAAAGTAGAATTGTGAGATCATATGATAATTCTATGCTTAACTTTTTGAGGAACTGCCACACAGCTTTCCATGGCAGCTGAGTCATTTTTTCATTCCTATCAGCAATGTACAAGCATTCTAGTTTCTCAGCACTTGCTATTTTCCATTTTTATTTATTATATCTATATGAGTATGAAGTGGTACTTCACTGTGATTTTTATTTGCATTTTCCTAATGACTAGGGGCTTTCATGTACCTACTGACTATTTGCATACCTTGTTTGGAGAAATGATCTCCTGGGATCTTCACATACATATTCTGAATCTGGAGTAGAGTATAAGTAGAGTATCAGATCTTGCCTTTCTTACAAGTTCTCAAGTTGGTACATATGCTGCTGAATCTCAGATTAAATTCTGAGTAGCAAGGGGCTACAGTGAACAGACTAGGGTCTTTGTAGGAGAAATTGTAATGGCTCTGCCCAATTGTGCTCCAAAAGTCCTACAGAGAGGCCAACAGGTGGTGTGGTAGTTAAGGTGCTGGACTCCCTCATGGCCAACTGCAGTTTAAGTCCTGGACCTGGCTTCTTGCTTGCTTACTCCTCCCCCCTCCCCCATACGTGCCTTATTGCAAACTTTAAAAAATAATAAATAAAGTTAGAAAATAAAAAGTTCTACAGAGTCCTCATTAAACAGAGAGGCCTAAATTATCTGGTGTAGCAGTAAAACACAACACTTTTCAAGGCTGAGACACTTGCCAGGGTTCCAGGTTTATGTCCATAGACCTCCCTGATGTATATATGCCATGCTCTAGGACTAGTTGAGGCTGAGAGTATATCACAGTGCCAAGGCCTTGTTGGAGGTACTGTCTCTTTCTTACTCATGAAAGAAATAAACCAATTTTTAAAAAATGTACCATGAGGGACCAGCAGTTAGCATAATGGCTATGTCACTGAACTCCCATGTAGTCAACCATGGTTGGAGTCCTGGATCCAGTGGCTTAAACTCTCACTGGAAGCATGTGCGTGCATGCCCAAGATCCCGAGAGGAGAATGGAGGAGAAGGGATTACAGCGTGGCCATCCCCCCAGGGAGTGATTTCTCACTTTCTGTCTCTCTCTGTCTTTCTGGTGAGTGCACGCACCCAACAGCAAAAAAACCTCTCTCAAAAAAAAAAAAAAAGTACCATGGAGCCCCAAAAAAACCTCTCTCAAAAAAAAAAAAAAGAGCACCATGGAGCCCTCTGCTACTACCAACCACTACACTGGTCAGTTTGGCCAGTTAGCCAGAACAACCCAGAGTCCACCTAACACAACAATGGCATGACAGTCATAAACAATAGGAAACTATGAAATACTGCTCCCTCCTGCAAGACTCTGAAATCCTAGCCTTCTGAGTCTTCCTTCCCCAAAATGAGGATGCTAGAGATTGAATGGAGGGGGATGTTACCCCTTCACAGTTCACTTTCTCTCAGCTCTAGGTTGGCTCCATATTCTGTCTAAGTATGCTGGTCACCTTTGGGAGTTTTCTTGCACCAGCCCTCGCCCCAACTTCAGCTCTGTATCACCTACCGCTCCATCTGCTTCTGGTGTTTCTCCTCCCGGGCCTGTGCCTTCATCTGCTGCACCTCAATGGTGTCAGGCTTACGGCGGCGCATGTATAGTTCATGGTTCCCCATGCACAGGGCCAAGATCCTCTTGTTAATCCGCAGCCGGGGAGCATAGAAGACAAAGTCCTGATTGGGAAAAGAGCAGTCAGAAAGGGTTTGGAGGGACAAGTGAAGGTGAGCTTCTGCTTCTAAAAAGCTAAGATAAAAAGCATTGGAAAGATTATTTCATTAAATCCTTTACATTACACATAGGAAAATTAATGATCAAAGTGATGAAGTAACTTACCCAGAATCAGACAGCAGGTTAGTGGCAGACCTAGGACAAGAACCTAGGCTTCTTGACTTTGAAATCTATGCTCTTTCCACCAAACCATATTTCTTTTAATCTCTGCTTATGAAAAGCATCCAGAAATATCCTAATCAGTTGAAATAACAGTATTCTCTTTCTCTTAATCAGAAAATTTGTTAAGTCCTAAATGGCCTTTTTTAGAAGACAAATAATCAATGCCTAAATACCCTGGTAGGTATAGTATGAGTACTTGGACTGTTTCTGTAATCTCCTAAAAAGATTTCCTAGATCTAGCCCCTGAAATCCTTTTTGGAACAAAGAAGGTTGTAAATGCACACATAAATATATAAATCCCCTAAACATTGACTGTCCTGGTTGTTTTTTAAATAAGCCCTTGATCTCAGCTGGTTTTGTTACTTACCTTTTTCTGATGAAAGGTGAGCACAGCAACAATGACACACACACACACACACACACACACAAGCAAGCAAGTAAATCCAGTGAGTCTGAGTTACTACAAATACCACTGAGCCAAGGCTACCAGCTGATGGAATAACTACCACCTCTTCTGCTACTGAACTCAAACTGCTACCATCTCATATAGCTTGCAGTACAATGGAAGGTGCACAGGCCATCAAAGTCAAACTACCTATGTATGAATCCCAGTTCTACCATTTTTAGCTGTGTGATCTTGGGTAAATTGCTCCATCTCACTGAACCTCAATTTCATCAGCTATAAACCAGGTATGCAACTATCTACCTACCTACCATATTGTTGGGGGTTTAATAAGACAACATATGTAAAGTATCTAGCAGGAAAAGTTCAGATACTTTTGGGCTAGAAAAGAATGGTTGAGTCCTCACAAAAATGGTCAAATTAAAAATAACAATAAAAAAAGCCATAATGGACACAAGGTACACCAGAAGACCAGACATTGATCTCAGTTTTTGCTCTTTTTATAAAGTTCTGCTATAGGGTGCATGCACTCGCCAGAGCAGGGTGGGGGCTGAGAAAGCATTTCCCAGGTGGGATTGTCATGCCTCCTCTCTTCCTTTCTCTTCTTAGGATTATGAGCACACATGCACATGTGCCCAGCATATTTTTCAAGCTGCTGGGACTTGAACTGCACAGTTGGCCATGTGGGATCAATCTATTGTGTCGTCGGGAGAGTCATGAGCATTTTTGCATAAAAAAACATAGAAAAATATGTCATGACTTTCCAGATGACGTAATAATGGCCTTAACTACCATACCAATGGCTGGCCCTCATCTCAGTTTTCTACCCTACTGTCAATCACCAGTTTTCTGGTCCTGTCAGCCCCTGACAACTGAGTGGCTGAGAAGTGAGGCAAGCATGTTAGAGGAATGACCAGATCCAAAGCACTGGTCTTGAATTGCTCTGGAGAGAAGCCAGAGGTGGCAGTAAAATTATACCAAAAAGCAAGTTTAGAGTATAATCTTTGGATTTGGACTCCTCCTGGCTATGTTTTTGCCACAATTAAAGATAAATCAAGTACATAAATAGTGTCCACTTTCTGGGGCTCAAGAACTTAGAAAGATAAGACGTACCCTGTCCCCGCCCCAGAGCCTCAAGGAAACAGAAGACACTGGCTAAGAACCAGCACTTAAGACTGCCTATGGCTTTCTCTCATCCACAACAAAGGAGAAGGCAGTAGGGTGGCACCAGGTACAGGATAACTCCTGGCCATTTCTTGGCATTGACACTTCTTTCCATCCCTAATCTCTATTAGGGCCTCCTGTTCACACACATGTACACATATACATTAGTAAAGGGAGATTAAATACAAAAATATGATTGATCCTGGCCTTTGCAAGTATCTGTCTTGGCCAGAGGGTGGGGTGACTCACCGGGGCTTTTTTATCAATTGGCTTGATGACAAATTTCTTATCATTGAAAGAGATGTTTCTGTTTTCACTCCAGGGGAAGCCTATCTTGGGAGTCAGTCTGCAGAAATAGAGACGAACAATATCAGAATAAGGGCAAGAAAAGAAGAACATAGAAAGTTGGTGTCTTACTCTTACTCCACACCTCAAACATTTCCCTTAATAAAGTATACTTATTGCCAACTCAGTGTTATCACATGTTACCAATCAGTTGTCAGCAGTGAAGATGCACAGAGGACCACATGATACCACAATCAACATATTATTCCTTGTCTTTTTTTTTGTTGGAGAGGTTTTTTCTTATTGGGCACATGCACTTGCCAGAAAGACAGAGAGACAGAGAGATAGAAAGTGAGAAATCATCCCCCAGAGGGGATGGCCACGCCGCAATCCCTTCTCCTCCATTCTCCTCTCTGGAACTTGGGCACGCACACACACACACCCAGTGTGAGTTTAAGCCACTGGGGTCTGGGACTCGAAATGTGGTCTACTACATGGAAGTCCAGTGACATAGCCATTACGCCAACTGCTGGTCCCTCCTTGTCTTAACCTGTAAGATTTGTTTTGCTATATTTTCAGTTGTGGCATGGACCTTGTAATACTCATCCAAGAGAACCCCAGCCCCTAACTGAGACTCTTCTATCCAAGGTTATAAGAGTTGGGGAGAAGGTAAATACTGTGCCCCAATATTCAGAAGTGACATATAACAATAATCTATCTCCATCCCCACCAAGAGCAGACCAACAGAAAAAAAATAAGCAAGTGAGATAAGACTACAGCAAGAGGATTCTAGACCAAAAACCACTTATTCGTCACATGGAACTTGAGACCCATTACAAATCAGGACAAGGGAGGTTCTAGGCAGCCAATAGAAACATAATGAGAATCACATACATAAGTTTTCTAGTAACCACATGAAAATAAGTAAAAAGAAATAAGCAGAAGTAATTGCAATAACAACTCAGTTACCCCAATATATTCAAAATACTAACATTTAAACATGTCAATCAATATTTTTAAAATGAGACATTTTATATTGTTTTTCATACTAAGTCTTTGAGGCCCAGTATATTGTTTACACTTATAGCACATCTCAATTCAGACTAGCCACAATTGAAGGGTTCAATAGCCACATATGGCTAGTGGCTACCATAGTGGACAGTGAAACTCTAGTGAACACAGGATTCAGAGGCCTGAAGGGTTATGCAATCATCTGGGGTATACTAAATTAATTCAAGAATTAAGGTGAGATACAAGAGGTAGAGTCTTACTCCATGATAAGGGGTGAGCTCTGAGTGTTGGAGTGACCCAAATAAACTAGAGAAGTCTGAGGCATACCTGTCATTTTGTTCATAGATATTGAGACCCAGGGCATCTACCCCCAGCCATAGCTCTGAGCCTTTCTTGTTCTTGATGCTGAAGTAGTTCACACCATACATCTCCAGGTCTTGAGCAATTTTCAGATATTCCAGGACAGCATCCTCTCTAAATAACACAGAGTACAGAATCACTTAAGAGAGTTAACTGATCAGACCCAGGGGGACAGGAAGCCTGCTTTCTCTATACTCCTGACAAGGATCTTGTTATCAGGTGTATGAAAGGGGACATAAGGCAAACAGATGATGGTGAGGAGAGCACAACCTGACTTTTTCCAAGCAAATCCTGTTGACAAAAACCAAAGATCTGAGGTTCCCAAGAAGAGTAAGACTGGATTGACTCTTACTGGACTCACACAATTTAATTCAAGAATTAAGGTGAGATACAAGAGGTAGAGTCTTACTCCATGATAAGGGGTGAGCTCTGAGTGTTGGAGTGACCCAAATAAACTAGAGAAGTCTGAGGCATACCTGTCATTTTGTTCATAGATATTGAGACCCAGGGCATCTACCCCCAGCCATAGCTCTGAGCCTTTCTTGTTCTTGATGCTGAAGTAGTTCACACCATACATCTCCAGGTCTTGAGCAATTTTCAGATATTCCAGGACAGCATCCTCTCTAAATAACACAGAGTACAGAATCACTTAAGAGAGTTAACTGATCAGACCCAGGGGGACAGGAAGCCTGCTTTCTCTATACTCCTGACAAGGATCTTGTTATCAGGTGTATGAAAGGGGACATAAGGCAAACAGATGATGGTGAGGAGAGCACAACCTGACTTTTTCCAAGCAAATCCTGTTGACAAAAACCAAAGATCTGAGGTTCCCAAGAAGAGTAAGACTGGATTGACTCTTACTGGACTCACACAATAGCTGCCATAGAAGCAGTTTTCTTCCTCCCATTCATTTTGACAGCCTTTTATACAGGCACATGCTTTGGAGAGCTCAGATAGAGTGGTAATTGCAAAATGATGAGAATTGTTCTTTAAACCAGACAACCTCTAAATGTTTTGCCAAGTTTAATGAGCCTCTTCTCCATTTCCTTCTTCTTGGGGAGGAGCCTCTGGTGGTGCTGCAGCTCCCTAGAGACCCAAAGATCCATTTTTTATGGTCAAAACTGGGCTACCAGTTGTCACCAATCATCAAAACAAACAAAAAAAAGGACAGCGTTGTGGTCCTGGTTTGCCTTCTTTAAGTGCCAGCATTCCCGTCGCTTTCCCTAATATCCACCTATGTACCCAGTTGTCTGCCTCTTTTCCCCAGAACTAACTCTAATTCTCACTGCAAGGGCAGTGGAACCCATAGCTGCCAGGGTAAGCTTACCTGAGCATACCTCGGTGTTCCTCATGCCAAACCTGGATCCGTTCTTCCCACTGGTCCTTGTTGAGTTTGTGCTGCTCAAGCACTCTGGAAAGAGAATGGATAATAAGCAGTTTTAAGCACAAAATCAATATTCAGGAAGGAAAAAAAGTTTACTTAGCTCTCTTAGGGATTGATACAAAGAGGATATAGAATCAGTCCATTGAGGTTATAGTGGAAGTAGCCTGAGATTATAGCAGAAAGGTTTAAATTAGACATAATGAACTATCTAAGAGGTAGAAGAGCAAAAAGAAATTATGACAAAGAAAGACAATGAGAACACCTTCTTTTGTACCTTTTACCAAAAAAATCCAGTAATTTCTGTGGTCTCTAAGCATAGCAGTAATGTATTAAGAGTTTGTGCTAATTAAGGGATCTAAGAGTAGGGATGGGCCTCATGGAGCCAAGTACATTCTTTCTTAGACTCTCTTAAAATCAAGAGTTTGTGTGCATAAGATTAATATTTGGGATGAGGAGGAACAGATGGTGCCACAGTAGTAATGTACCTGGACCCACATGGGAAAGGTCTTGAGTTTGTGTGCTGGGACCTCCCCATGCATGCTGGGTGTGTGTATCTATGTTTCAAGCCTCCTAACACAGGGAGTGGATGGTGGCAAGAAGATCCTGATGGAAGTACCTATCTCTCTCTCTTTCTCCTTCTCTCTTATGGAAGAGATAAATAAATCAGAAAAAAAGGATTATTATTCAGAGATGAGAGGACAGGCTTTGACTACAGAAGAGAGAACTGAGGCCAAATGGTTTTGGGAGAAACTAACAGGCCCAACCTCCCAGATCTACTAGATCTTAAACAAGGCTTAGTTTAAACATGCCGTCTTGGATAATCATGGCAATGACCCAGGTAGAGCCCCAGGGCATAACCACTATATCCCTAATACCTTCCAGTAGATTGTACACATGTCATAGCTCTAATGGAACTGGGGCTCCCAGAATGAAGCAGAGCTTTTCCTTCTAAATCTATGAAAAATAGCAACTGGGTATAGTGGAAAAAACTCAGGGCTAAACAATTTAAGAGACTAGGGTTCCCAGTCTGGCTCTGCCTCAAATGAACTATGGGAGTTGGGGCAATTCAATGCAAGCACCTCTATTTCCTTAGCCATGAAATGAGGACAAATCCTACCTTATTTGTTTTACGTGTTATTGAAATACTGAAACAAAAATAATGAGTATTTCAGAACTTTCAGCTGTGAAGTACATAAAAGCCAAAAGGTCTGTAAACTGGTTATCAATAGTAAAAGCCTATTTGAACTCTCCATTTCCCTGATTTGCATATTTCTTTCTCTCCCTTGTGAATTTCTTATGTAAGCTGTCTAAATCAGAAAAGAAAAAAAAAAAGGAAGAAAGTAGAACTAGAAAAGGGAAATAAAATCAATCTATCTCTGGTTCTATATAAGTGTCTTCCTCCAAGGTAATAAAGTTCTGTAATCAGGCAGACAGATGGGGTTAAAGGGGCTTTTTATTTTTGAGAGCCAGCAAAACAACAGCGTATGACACTATATACAAATACATCTCTCTGGGCAGCACAATATAGTCCTCTGACAGACCCTAGTACAGAGAAAATTAACTGAAAGTCCATGTGGAGCAGGGATTGGTCAGCCTTAGGCTGCAGTCACCTCTGACCAGTGAAAGGCCAGAGTACTCCCTCACCTCTGTGGCAGCAGTTTGTCTCCTGCCAGGTAACCAGACTTGTGCACCTCCTTATTGAAGTCACCATATTTGGACTGGACAGCATAAGAGGCCAACAGCACAGCTGTCTCAGGTGGGCAGTAAATATCATCATTGAGAATACCCTCCTTCACTTGCAGAAAAAACAGGCGCTGGGTGATGTCCTGGATCAATTCCTCGGATACATCCTCAGGGTAGAACTTGGCCCGGAACTTGAAGAGCAGAGGGCTTTCCTTCCGCACATCCTGGGCTGTCACCTGGGAGCAGCAAGAGGTTATAGGCTCTCAAAAAATAGGATTTAGGTAAGACAGAATTAGGAAATAATAATTCAAGTACTTATAATATTGAGAATGACCTTGAGGAATCTAAGACTACAGCATGTAGAGAAAAGAGGGTTGGCTCCACGGTACAGCGGTTATGTGCTGCTTAACAGAGGCTGGATCCCACATAGTTACCGCTATGTCAAATCCCCCAAGCAGTCAGCCTAAAACACACCAGGCCATGTGTGAATGCCCAAGATCCAGTGGGCTGGAGGATAAGAGGAAGGAGATTATGGTGTGGTCAGACCTGTGGAGGCTGTTCATCTCTCTGTGTCTCTCTCTTGCAGGGACACACACTCTATAATGAATGAAGAAAACACACAC